TCCTCTAGGCTAAAATACTTCTTGTTTGTTCCAAGACAGACATTTCTTTTCTGGCTTTTAAAATATTAGTGGTGGTCTTTTCTTTCTTACTCTTAAATATAAATATATATATATATAAAATTATTATTATTATTTTCTTCTTTCTGTTGTTTCTGTAAGGTTTCCTAGTTTACGAAGTATAGAAGTAGATGCATATGGACAGTAACTGATGCAATGGTTTATGGGGAGGGGTGTGAAAGGAACTGGGGAGTGAACAATGGATTTGAGGGGGGAGGGAACACTGGGATTGACAATTGTTTTAAAAGTGACAACTATAGACGTATATGATCTGTGATTATTATACCAAGAAAATTACTGAAAAGAAAAAAGAAACCAAACTTGACCTATAGTTACCATGGGTGAAGGAGGAAGAGTTGTAGCTTAGAGGGCACTTAGTATATACATGTTAACAGTGGTGGAATAATTTGGAAAAAGATATCAACAATGGTTGTACAACATGAAGAATATAATCAATGGCACTGAATTATACATGTATAAGTTGGTGAAATGGAGAATGTTTTGTTGTGTATATTTTTGCCACACTCAAAAAGAATAATTACACTCATAACAATGAGTATAAGGAATCTGAAAATGTTCTAAAATTGACTGTGGTCGTGATTTTACAACTCTTCTTGATGTAACTGAATTATTGGGTTATATACTATGTGGATGAAGTGCCAATAAAACTGCTCCAAAAGGAAGATAACTGCCCCTGTGAGTTTCTGAGACTATAATCCTTTTACAGGAATACAGTATCTCATTATCCCATGGAGCTAGCTGGTGGTTTTGAACTGCTGACCTTTTGGTTAGCATCCTAACACATAGCCACTAAGCCACCAGGGCTATGAAAATAAGGTACACGGAACCCTAATGAATCAATGCATTTGAATTATGGTGCTGGCAAAGAACACTGAAATTAGTATTAACTGCCAAAAGAACACATAAATCTATCTGGAAGAAGTATAGCCAGAATGCTCTTTAGAAGCAAGGATGACTGTCTCACGTGCTTTGGACATGTTATCAGAAGAGACCAGTCCCTGAGAAGGACATCATGCTTGTAGTACAGAGGGGAAGAGAAAAAGAGAAAGACTCTCAAAAAGAGAGACTAACACAGTGGCTGCAACAAAGGGCTCAAACATAACAATTGTGAAGATGGTGCAGGGCCAGACATCGTCTCATTCTGTTGTGCACAGGGTCACTATATGTCAGAACTGACTTGACAACACCTAACAATAGGAGTGTCAATCTGACATCCTCTAGGATTTAAAAAAAAAAAAAAAAAAAGCCAATCCATGAATAAATAGAGGACACTTTACTAAGAAGAGCTGAGAGCAAAGGACATGTTTTGGACCCAGGGCTCCTGTACCGAGGACCTCCTAGAACCAGGAGCTAGAACGTGTATCACCAAAGACACAATGGCATAATCAAGAGACGTGCTAGATGGCATAGAAGGTTTCCAGCTCAAAAAGCGGGACAGCTACAGTGGGTGTGCCAAGCCACAGAGCGAGAGCTGAGCAGCACCTTTGAGCGTGCTGGTAGAGGGCAATGAAGGAAGGCTGGTTGTGAGCACAGCCAAGAAGCTGTCTTTAACTAATAAATTACCACAGCTAGCACAGAACTAGATCAGTGTGGGAAGTACAGGTGGTGCCAGAAATGATAGGCTAGCAAGAAGTATGTCTAAACTCCACCTCATAGGAACCAGCACTGGGTTGACATTGATCTCGATTCTTTCTCCTCCAAAAGTTGGATAAGGTCTGACAACATGTCACCATTTTTACAATGAAAACAAACAGTTCGGAGAAAGTATAAATGTTCTTATTTCCTAATTTTTTATCATAGGAAAAATCAGACATATGAGACACAACGAAAACCTGAAACAGGCACACAGGAGCAAACTAAGAGGGAAAGGGAGAATGGATCGTATCCTGGCCCACCCAGCCGCAAGGGCAACACCACTGCTAGGAACAGCCAAGACAGAGAGAGGACCATAGGGCTTGCCCCACCGCGAGACACAACATCCCCTCACTGACCCACAGCGCTGCAGGGGACAGCCCTGGAGAGACAGTGTGGAAATTTTATCTGGTCTAACTACCCCCACACCAGGGCAACACACGAAGGGAGTGCAACAGAGCAGCAAGGGGAGCAAAGCAACAAAGTCCCTGAGAAATCCTGAAAATAGACTTCAGACTCAGAGGGCAGGATTTGGCATCTATCTCATCACACTTGATCAGAAAACAAATATAAGGGTCAGTAGAAAACTTGGAACGATATAAGATAGGCAAGATAAACAAACACAAGTAGAAAACAATGGGGCGGAAGGTTCCAGAGGGAATAGAGGAGAAGGGGAGTGGGGAGCCAACAAACCTGGGGACAAGGGCACAAAAAGAGATCTAAAATTGATGGCGAGGAGGGTATTGAACGCCTGGTGGGATTTGATCAAGTGCAATGTAGCTGAGAGGAATTACTGAGGGCCTAATGAAGGTCGAACACAAAAGTGGGACAGGAGTAAAGTAATAGGAAATACAGAAGGAAAAAAAGTAAAAGGAAATACAAGGCAAAAGACATTTATAGGGGTATAAATATAGGCAGGTATATATAGAAATACATTAATATATAACAATATGGATAAAAGTCTATGTACATATATTTGTATGTTAAAAGTATTAAGGTAGCAAACGGACTCTGGGCCTCTACTTAAGTGTTCTCTCTACACAACACTTTGTTCTAATAATCTGGGTATTCTATAATGCTCACCTTCATGACACAATCGCTGAAGACAAAATGGGTGCACAAGCAAATGTGGTGAAGAAATCTGATGGTGCCCGGTCATTAAAAGATATAGAATCTGGGGTCTTAAAAGCTTGAAGTTAAACAAGCGGCCATCTAGCAGGGAAGCAACTTTATTGTAGTTTCTTTTTGATGTAGACTAGACTTAGATAATTCAAGAGCTAGATAATATCTGACATTAAGGTGGCAAGGGCAGATAAAAACGAGAAAAAGCAAACATATCATTGGATATCTATTATATGCCCGAGGAGCCCTAATGGCACTGTAAGTTAGGCATGGGCTGCTAATCGGGGTGGCAGAATTTGAACCCAAATTTGTCCGATTATAGGGCCTGTGCCTTATACTACCTTCAGTGCAACACAGAGCTTGGTTTATTTGTTTTTGCATTTGTAAACAGGTAACTTTGAATAATACTTCATTTTGCTCTAAACCCTGGTACGTATTTGGGTTATTATTACTCATTTTTGTTATTTTTCATAGTTTAATTGGCAGTCTGAAAAAAAGTTCTAAGAGCTTGAGTTGCACCCACAGGGGAAGCCCTTTTCCACTGACTTGATCTCTGACATTATACCTTTTCTCTACCTCTCCCATTCTCACTTCCCCTAAAGACCTGGGAAACTGAGAACTAAATATGAACAGATTCCTGAAAATGAAACAGACCCTGAATTTCTATTTCATAAATCATAAATTCATTCAAATCATAAAAGTATTTGCTCAGGGACATTTGTGTGTTTAGAACTGTCTTAAGCACTGGAGATGCTAGCAAACAATACAGACTAAATCCCTACCCTGTTAAGGCTTAAGAGGAGATCACAAAAAAGAATGGTAAATTTTTATAAATTATATGGAATATTCAATTCAACTGCCTCAGTTATCTTTAGTAAATTTAAGCTAAACATAGTGAGAAAGCCTTTACAGCATAACAAACATATCTTCAAGGTACATATCAACATTGAAGTTATTTATAGCAAAATCAACATAAAAATAACTGTAGGGTTGAAGTTGTAACCATATTTAATTACATGTGATCGTACCTTTACTATAAAAAAGCAGGTTATTTTAGTTTTATTTATAATGTAAACATTGTACTCGATTAGGTCACTTTACTCATAGAATGCCTACTATTTACTGTGATCCCCACATAGAATTTAAGCTAAACATAGTGAGATAGCCTTTACAGTATAATAAACATATCTTCAAGGTACATATCAACATTGAAGTTATTTATAGCAAAATCAACATAAAAAATAACTGTAGGGTCAAAGTTGTAACCATATTTAATTACATGTGATCGTACCTTTACTATAAAAAAGCAGATTATTTTAGTTTTATTTATAATGTAAACATTGTACTCGATTATGTCACGTTACTCATAGAATGCCTACTATTTACTGTGATCTCCACATAGAATCTCTCTAGACCTCCCAGATGAACACTTCTCTAATTTTATTAATGTGAAACATAGCTCACTTCAAACATGCATCTTTCCTCAATAAATACCCCTATTGTAGCCTAGTTAAACACAAATATTTCTAAGTACTTGCCTATTTTAGGAGTGTGAGCAGTACAGCCACAATATAAACTATTCTATGAAGCAAGTGTACAATTACTTCATAGTGTAAAATCGTATTTTAGGAAAAATTTTTACAAAGAGTACAATTTCCTAAATGAAATGTACCTGGCCTTGAAATAAAATCATATAAAATATATTTTAAAAGATAGGAAGTCTTAATAACATGTCCTTTAAAATATACCTACAACCAGACCATCTCTTTAGACTCCCACTGCTGCATTTGGTTTGAGCACGGCGACCTCCCCCTAGGACTGCAACTGTCTGAGCGACTCTGTTCAATGAAGCCTATTCTGAATGCCCTATAGAATGCTCATCTCATGCCCAGTGTGTCACCACATCAACTCCACTGTAAAACTTACTTGTACTCATTTCCTATTACTACCAACTAGAATATACATAACGGCACCTTTATTTTCTTCTGTAACATACTTTAAACACTTAGGGCAGAACCTGGTACATGATCAGTATTTGTAGAATAAATGAAGTCAGTTAAGTTTCAGTTTCGGAAGTAAATAAGAACCAAGTCATATATAGTTGATTAATTTTGAAAAATCATAACGACAAGATAGTTAACATGCTTTCATTACGGAGCTTACCATACCAGATAAAATAAGCAGTTCAATGATTTCTGCATCTCCAAGATAAGCAGCAGCATGCAATGGGGTTCTTTTTTCATTGTCCTATGATAACAAAGAAAGGTAAAATATGTTTTAAAATACGGTTCAGTTTAAAGAAAAAAAGTTATATATATATCAGATTATTATTTCTACAAATCTAGTCCAGTCTGCAAGTACCAGTCTATTTTCGTCTATGAGAAAAAAAGTAAAACAAACAATATTAAACTGGTATCAAAAGTGATATTATTTTAAAAATAGCTTGTAAAAGAGAAAGGGCTGGTCAGTCTAGACCCCATATTGGCACACCAAGCACAGAGGACAACATCTCTGCATGGAACTACTAAGGCACAGAGAGGATTGTAGGTCTGACAACAGCTCATGACATGCTGTCCCCTCATACTGGGACAGAGGACAATACTAGGGACACATAGCATGGAGGCAGGCGGTCTGAATACCCCCCTCTCCGCCCCCCACAGTGGAGAAAACCAAGAGGGAACATAAGAGATCAGCAACAGGATTAAAGCAAAGCTCCAAAGCCCCTAAAGAGCCCCCCAGATAGACTTCAGGCTAGAAGAGGCAGCTTCCAAAATTCTTCTAGGACCAGTGGGGAGATAGTCATGAAGGTCAGCAGACAGACCTGGAACTATGTATGTGTCTCTGTTTTCTTTTATTCAATCGCTTGTTTTCTAATTATTTAGTTTATGGCATTGTTGGTATGCCTCTTACATAAGGTAGAAAGAAACAAGGCCAACAGTCCCTCTGGAGAGACTTGGGGGGAGAGGGGGATGGGGGAAGGGTGTGGTGAGCAAACAAAGCCATAGACAGGGGAACAACTAGGGAATTAAAAACAACAACACGAAGATATAGAGATCCAGGGGGTGTTGGAGCAACAACAATCTAGCTGAGAGGATGTCCTATGAGGCAGACGTATGGGTGATGGTGGGGAAGAGGGAAGGTAAAAGTAAAAAGGAATGATCTAGGAAGCAAAACTATGGATAGAGGTATAAGCATAGGTGAATCCATATGTAAATACATTAATCCATAAAAATAGAGATATTGGCCTATGTACACATTTATATGGCAATACACTGAGTTAGTGGACGGACTTCAAGCCCCTGCTTATGCCCTCCCTCAATAAAAGAACACTGTTCTAACAAACTGTCCTACCCTACCGGCACAATTGCTGAAGACAAAATGGGAGCACAAGCAAATGTGAAGAAGGAAGATGGTGCCCAGCTATTAAAAGATACAGTGTCTGGAGTCTTAAAAGTCTTGAAGTGAAACAAGCAGCCATCTAGCAGAGAAACAACAAGCCCACATGGAAGAAGCACACCAGCCTGTGCAATCATGAGGTGTCATCCGGACTGAGTAACAGGCACCAGAAGACCCTGAACAAACAAACAAATAAGCAAAAACATATGGTTGAGAACAATGGGGATTGGAGCAGAGACCCAAAGTCCACTTGTAGACAATGGAATACCCTCCCCCAAAAGTGGTCCCAGGGAATGAATGAGTCAATCAGGGTGTAGTAAAGCACCGATGAAACACACAATACTCCTCTGGTTCCTTGAGGCTTCCTCACTCCCCACTATCATGACCCCAGTGATGCCTCTCACTTCGGACTAGACTGGAGTATGTACACAAGTACAGATAAGAGCTCATGATACATGTAATCCAGAAGCAGGAATGGGAACGTCAATACCAGAAGGATAGGAAGAAGGAGGGGAAGAGGGAACTGATCATAATGATAAACACACAACCACACACCCCTGCTCAGGGGGAAGAACAGAAACCCTGGGGGAAGGGAGACAGTGGTGAGTGTGAGGTCTGAAAATAATAATAATTTATAATCAAGGGATCATTGGGGGAAGGGAGGGGAAGAGTTGATACCAAGGGCTCCATAGAAACAACTGTCTAGAAAAAAATGATGGCAACGTTTATACAAATATGCCTGATACAACTGATGTATGGATTGTAATAAGGGTTGTAAGAGCCCCCAATAAAATTATCTCACAATAAATAAATAAACCTTCTTAGACTATTTCAGAAACCCACAAGGATAGTTCTACCTTGTCCTATAGGGTTGCTATGAGTCGGAATCTACTTGATGGCAGTGAGTTCAGTTTGGTGGAGATTATCTTTGAATGAGGAGGATAGGCAGCATGGTGGTGATACATACAATACAATGGAATATTTAGTTATTAGGAAAAGTGACATTTGCATTTATGCTGAGTGATCCCAGATGTTATGAAATATCTAGATTAGGCAAATGCATATGTATAAAAGTTTATTAGCGGTTACCAAGGGTAACCAGGATTAGGGGTGGTGGTAAGATTACGGTTTTATTGCTGGGAGAAAATATTTCGCCTAAATGTGGCCAATGGTATAAACAGTTAAGTGCATAAGTACTAGCAAAAAAATCTGGCAATTGGAACCCACCCAGAAGTTTGTCAGGAGACAGGCCTACCAATCTAGCCACAATCTGAAAAACTATACAGAGCAGTTCTACTTTGCACATATGGATGGAGTCACCAAAAGTCAGAATCCATTCAACAGCAACTAAAAGCAACAGGTAAATGTGGGGTTAATCACAGCACACGGGAGCAAATGAAGAGGGAGGAAAAGAGAGTGGAGCACATCCTGGCCCACCAACCCTTGAAGACTATATTCCTGCTCAGAGCAGCGAGTCCACAGAGAAGACCATATGATTGGCCCCACTATGAGACACGACATCCCTCACTGACCCACAGCCTACAGGGAACAACACTGGAGACACAGTGTGGAAATTCCGCCCAATCTGATCCCACCATACCGAGGCAAAACACTAAGGGCATGGAACAGAACAGCAAGGGGAACAGAGCAACAAAATTCCCAGGGAATACCAAGGACGGACTTTTGGGCCAGGGCTTGGTGCCCAACAGACTCGACTGGAAAACATGCCTAAGGGCCAACAAACAGTCCTTGAACTAACTACAAGCTTTTCTTTTTTGTTGTTGTGTTTTGTTTTGTGTCATTGGTTTGTTGTTG